ACTTGTGATGTCGTGTGATCTCATAGGAATTTTCAGTTATAAAATCCCGCGGAAAGAGAGGGAAAAAAAAGCAAAGCTGTAAAAATATAAATATAATGTATATATTATATATTATATTTGTATAAACGTGTAATATAACATATTCAAAATAATGCATAGATAGTTAAATAATATCGAAGTTCGATGAATTATACATATATATATATATATATTATATACATTGCACAATCGTTTTATGATTATTGTTGTCTTTATCTTAAGGCACAATGTACAAAAAGAAATTAGTAAAAAAAAAAAAAAAAAAAAAAGAAAGAAAGAACTAAAAGTTTTTTTGTAGTAAACAAAGCTGTTTAATTGTTGTGCTATATAATTCATGTTATGTTTTCGTTATTACAAAACGATGTATCACAATATTGCGGTGATGAGGTGTAAATGCTTCAACCTCGAGGGCTTCGCAGAAATACCTTTGACCCTATGGTTGACAAGCGCTTCTTAAGCAGCGCTTTCAGTCACATCTCTGTTATGTAATTGATGGGATTAAATGCAAAGGGAATGCAAATTATGGGTTACTAAATAGTTCAATACTCGAATAACTATTAATATTAGAAGCATATATTTTGAAAATTTTCTACATTCTCTTTTAATATTATTTATGATAATTTATGATAAATTTATAACGAACTTGATTTTATTCAAAGTTTTCCTTCATATTTTATTTATCTTTGCATTTAATAACATTAAAAATTTTTTATCGATATGTAATTCTGTTATTTCTATGAAATTTTTTAATAGATATTCTAAAAAGTTATATACATCGTTTATATAATGATAGAATCACAAAAGAAAGTATTCTTTTGTTATTGTATTAAAAATGATGCACCCTTGTTCATCGATGCGCCCTCTTTAGAAAATATTTGCAATCAAACCTTTCAAATTTCCAGAGTTCCTTGAATATTTTAGGTTATTTATGACAATATGTTATATATTTATGATAATATAGCGTAGAATAATTAAGTGATGCTGTATAACAGTATATACAATGCATAAATTGTGGTTTATTGACATTGCATTGTTTGATACGATAATCAAACGTTATTGTGTCATAATTGGCTCACGTTCACGTTATTTGTCCATATGGCCTGTTGCCAAACATAGTTGCCAACATTAAAAACATTGTTACATCTGCTGCTTAAAAAATGTTTTATAATTAAAACTTAAAATGTTTATGATCCATAATCAAATTTGAAGTAAAATTATATCAGAAAATTTGCTGAAAATTTTTCTCAGATAAAAATGTTTAAATTTTAATCTTAGTATGTAACCTTACATTATGAATGTGGCAGAGTGCGCTGACTTACAATGGTTTTATCATTGTCGGTAATTCAGATTCATATATATTGACTTTTGTTTGAAAAAAGCAGTTACAAGCAATCATTAAGCTTTCATGATTTCTGAATTTTAAAAAGACATTTAGAATAAAAGATCAATCGAATCGTTATTAACTTTCAAACATTCAAATTTTATAAATTATTTTGATAAAAATTACTTTTGATGAATATTGAGCCTAATAAAGAAGATATGGATCTTATTTACAGGTTAATATAATAATTCACAGAATTACGATTATTTGTGTATTTTTTTTATAATATTAATATCTTGTTAATGAAAAAACAAAGTAAACAAATGAAATAATTAGATAGATATATATATAATATATATACTATTGGCTCCTAAAAATAATTCGAAGGGAAATATCAGGGAAATAAATATAAGTATTATTTCGAAACTAATTTTATTTTAAATACAAAGTAATATTTTTTATATTAAATAAAACAAAAGCAAAACATATAATTTTTATTTTAAATTAGTCTTCTAGATACGTTACATAAAATGATAAGAATTGGAGTATTTTCTCATTTCATCACATACTTCGTGGCCGACCGTTGAAGAAGATGATCTGTGATAAAATAAGGAGAATGTGACAGTTTCAAGCGGACAATAAACATCAAAGGAAAATCTGTAATGGTGTGCAAACTTAATTTTTTTAATGGAATATTTTTTAATAAGATGAATGTAATAAAGTTTGATCTAGAAAAAAAAAAAAGAAAATAAAAAATGTCTCAGGAAAATGTATGTAATAAAATTCTTATATTTATAAATAGAAATTTAAATATGATGACAATAAATTTTCTTTATTTTATGTAAAAATTAGATATTTTTAATCTCATTTTTTTTAAAGATCAGAAAAATTAGGACATTAGCAAAGTGCTAGAATTGCGTGCAAATATTATTTTAGGCGTGGTTCATTCTTTTAATCATTTTAACGTACTTTCCTTGATTAATAAAAATAGGAAATTTAATTTTATATAATGTATTATGAATATTCATACTCATTTTTTTTAACAGAATTGAGAATTCTTCGAGAAAAACATATGTATTTTATTATATATATTTTATAAATATACGTTAAATATAATTGAAATTAAGATTATCTTACTTACATAAAATGTTCTAAATTTAATACTTAATTTGATGCAATTGAAATAATAACTCGAACGCAATAAAATTTTATAAAAATCGATGAATTGCAGATTACTGGAAGAAAATTGAATTTAAAATACGCAAAGAGAATGGACAACGAAGCTTTTCTAATTTGCGATGCTTAACAAGAATTATTCAGTTCTCTGTTTCTCATTCTGCCAATTGTTCATTCTGTATGAACCCTTTCAAAAGCATCAAAATTTTGAAAGACGTTATTGCTCTTCCGGAAACCACATTGGCGCCGTTTTGTCGTGCGTGTCAACTTCATCCGTTGAAGCGTACATGTGCTAGTGATGGCATTGATCCTCTTTTTTGCTTGATGTCAACAGCCTTGAGAAAATATTGGCCACTTTGTGTTTAACAACTTGTTGATGCACGGTATTTTTAAGTAGTCTATTTTCATCCTTGATAATTTTATTTTATTAAGAACTTTAAATTGTAACTAAAAATTATATTTGTAAAGGAAAAACTTTCTTTTTTTAATTTCAATAGGATAAAGGAATCGAAATAAATAATACATATTACGATTTGAAATTAAAAATTATGGGTGAAAGAACTTTCTATATTTATTTCGATATCATATATTTTTTTTTATTATTCAGCTTATTATAGAATCGTAATTAGAATCTTAAAAAAAAAATTATTTTTCTTTATATACATTTTAATTTACTTTTCTTTTATTTCACGTAAATTTTATTTTATATTTCATACAAAAATCAAACTATTTCAAAAATGATAACAAAATTTAAACAACTTGATTAATTTATCAAGCAACAAACACGACGAAATAATTTTAATCGAACCCATCGCTACCAACGTGTATCTCCATCTTTCGTAGGATGGTGGTTCGGTTGGGTCGATAGAGCCTCTTTCCTTCTCAATCGCTCTCATTACGCGTCGTATATTCTCTTCTTGTCGTAACGTTCTCCCTTCCAGTTCACTCTGCAAAGGGTGGGGAGTAGGAGTATCCGAGCAAGATGGGGAATCGTGAGTTCTGTCAGTGGCCTCTCGGACACGAAAGCGTCGGGTGTTCGAAGGATGGTTCGTTTCATTTCTCTGTTGCTTTAACATAATTTCACGCGGACATTAAATTTTTGTGTTTCGTTGTATTATTCGATAAGTGCGGCATTCGACGTTGTAGTGTTTCTCGAGGCGATCACAAGGTAATGTGGCACATGGTACATATTTAAATTGCATCCCGTTCAATGATAAATGGTTATGTTTTTATGATAGAAGTGCACACACACACACACACACACACACACACACATACACGATATACACGATAAAATTCATTTGCATACGAAACAAGATTCATGTGAAACGAAAGAATTGTTGTTTGCTTTCTATGAAAATTTCTATGGTTTGCTATCGTAATGATTAAAAACAAAAAAAATAATTAAAAAAATAAGAAGGGTTAAAAATACGAAATAAGGTCAATATATGGATATGTGGATACGAATGTTTTTATCAAAGAAAATTTGTATTAAAGAATATTAAACGTAGTATATGGTGACACGAGAACATATAATAGACATACAATGAGAAAAAAAATTACGAAAATTGTTTTATGGCTAACGAAATTTCGCGTGAATTTTACCGGAAAAATTCTACAATCGATCGGAAAACTTGGAGGAAATTCGGTCGAAGCTTAAGGCACTTGGTATTGTCTCGAGAATCTTATTAGTACTGTGTTTATTTGATGAAAAGAACGTTTCTTTGCGGAAACTGAATTGAGGAAGAAAAAGATTGTGAGACGGGATGCGAATGATAAAAAATGTAGCTAAGTTCATAACGATAAGAATTAATATAATACAATTATTTTTTCTCGCTTCGGTTAACATAATTTAACATTGCGTTATTAAATTTTACATAGTAAGTTTGTGTTAATTATTTTTTATTTTTTTTCTTTTTTCTTTTTTAATTTCGCTTTAAATAATTTCGAAATAATTATGAAATATTTAAAAATATTTACAGTACAACGTTGAAACTTAAATTGAATCTAAATTTTAAATTTAATTTAATATAGATTGTTAAGAATGTCAAATATAGATAGGGAGATTTTGACGAATAGCAAATTTTAAACGATGTGTGTCAAGTTTGCCAAATGAATCCTCGATATATCGTATACTCTTACAAAACGAGAAATTACAATCATGCTTAAGAATATAAATAATATTATTGTATAATTAAACAATTTGAAAGAATAAATGGAATTTTTAGTAGAAAAATATTGTATTTGAAGTGCAAGCGATATTGATTAGAAATAGGAAAAAGTTTGAAACTACGTGATCTATTTTAGAATTTAATTTTTTTTAACTATTAATATTATAAAAATTTTGATGTTTAACCTCTTCAAATTATTTATTTCTTGGCATGAGGAAAATAATTGTGAATAAAAATAAATATATTCAACATATTAATTAATTTTATGACATTGATTATATATGAAAATTTAAAAATTTATTCTATTATCTTACGATCGAATTTTTTTCTTTTTAAGTAGATATTATTATTAATACGATAAAAAATTTCATATTCGATATTTGTTGAAATATTTACTTTTAAATTTTCAAACTTTCATCCTATAAATCTTATAATTCTTAAAGTTCTATTCCTAATTAAAGTTTATTACAAAATAAAAATATTCGAAGTTAGAAAAAGAATATTAACATATATACGATAGAATTACCTACAATCTATTATATCACGTAAAACATTTCCCTTTCTTTTTTCCTGTGTACATATAAATATGAATACCTTGGAAAGATCCAAACGTGATATCAAATGTGTCTATCGTGTTTAGTTTGCTTCACGTAAAGTTTACTCGAAATCTTTCTTAGCACGATTGTAAGGAACGTGTTTACTAAAAAAACAAGCGATCAAAAGCAAAGGTCGCTTCCCTTGTACATGCTACGCACATTAGAGGCGTGATATTCGTTTACCAACACATGGGGAGGGCAAAGTAGTTAGCCTAATCGTTAAGAAAGCGCGCACAACAATACAACGTAATAATGTAAAAGGTTTTCTTCGAGTGGCATAGTAGCATATAACCACATATCGATCTGCTGATTTTAATATACTTGCTGAATATAATGACACAAGTGCATGTAAAACTCGATTAGTTAATTTTCTTGTTGCTTTAGACTTAGTTCGATAACAACGGAAAGGAAGTTAAAAATTTTAACGAAAAAAAGATGTAAATTTAAAATATCAAAGTAAAAATAACAGTAGTAGTTTTTTTTTTTAATAAGATATTTTTAAAATCATCGATATCAAGATTTTTAAAAGTTAGATGGATTGTATATAAGCCATTTGAATCTTTGAAACTCGTGCTTCGCTTCTATTTAAAATTTATGGCACGCTGTCAATCAGATGAGCTACATTCGTTCGGAAATTTCTATTAGTTCGGGCTCCTGGAATCAATCAAACTTCCGCCTATTTCCGTTTTCCTGTAATATGACCTATCTCTCGAATATCGACGAACCTTTGAAATTAATAAATGGGGCAAATAAACATTTTCCTCCATATAATTTTTACAACAATGTTGACAGTGAAAACATTTTTTTCCCAATTATCAAAAACAATGCAAAAAATTAAAATGTTGTTAAAAATTTAACAATAAAAATAATATGTTAATTAAGTTTAATTCTATTCTCGAGTACGAAGTTGTAACTAGATTGAAGGATATTTAGGTCAAACATACATTTATCGATGAGTTTTTTTATCCTCTTATATTGCCAGGAAATAAAGGTAATCTGCGATAATCGTCCTTTTAATCATCGCCTAATCGATTTTTCAATTCTCTTTTTTTTTACAAGAAGAGCAGAATAACAAATTTGTTTTTTATTTTCAAAATCAATATGATATTTAAATTGTTCGATAAAATTTAATCTTTCCTTAAAAAACTTTTTTTTATTAGGAAAATGAATGTTGAATATTAGAAAAAAAAAAAAAAAAAAAGAAAAGAAAGAAAAAGAAGAAAAAGTCAAGGACAATTTTCTCATGTAGAAATGGAACAAAATTTATCATAGAAATACACGAAGGATATAAATAAAGATTGGAAGAAAAAAACTCAAAGAGTCGATTATTTACACGAAGAATGATTTATCAATCGGTAACAGACTTAACTGGAGTATCTTTCAGAGAGTCGAAGAAATTAACCGAGTTGAAAAGGAAATCGAGTAGACCGATGACAACCGTTCTATAATCGGCCGCTCCAGTCAACCTCGGATGTTTACCGAGTGGCATTACTTATTCCTTTGCGTTATTTCGTGAAATTTTGCAACGAAATCCTCTTACCTTCTGTAGGAAACACGGGAGGCGCAGGGATCGTACTTGTTTCAAGAGCCTCTTTCCCAGCTCTTCCAATCGGACGTTGGAATTAATTAAACCATTTGTGTTTTTTACTCTCCGAACGATTTTAGTGCCTTAAATTTGCTTCCAGTAAAAACTGATTATACACTTTTTTTTTGCATAATTAATATATTAAGTATTGGTGAATATATTAATTTTATATAAAAATTTAATATAAGGCAAATATATAAAGACTACTCTCAATAACAAGTATTCTAGAACTCATTTTATTGCAACAGATTGATTTTGATAAATTTTTGAATAATTTAGATTGGTGAATATCTTCTGGAATTGTACGAATTCCTCAATTTAGTCTCAATTAGTTTCTAATTAGAATATTAGCTACCATTCTACGTATAACGGATATACTTAACTTATCTTGTTACCCTCTTGCGTATACGTGATTTATCAAATTCTGATCAGATCTCAATTTTTAGATCTGGATTTTTCAAAAGATAGAGAGGAATGTAATATTATAGGAAGGAAGGATGAGATTGTGCCAAAAAATTATCATTTGGTTTATTCGGTAATTTTAATTTCAATTTTATCGATTTTTTTTTTTCTTCAATAAATCGCAAAAGTTGCGAACTAAAATAATTTAGGCACCCTAACATCAATTATGACAGTTTGTTATCATTCGAAGGCCAAACGGTTCCCCCACGAACCTTTTAATTGATCAAAACGAACCCAACTGAAACCACTTTTATTAGCTCAGTGAATCAATTAAAAGAGGTACTCGAACATCTATCCAGGGATTCAAATGAGGTTAGTGTATTCTTAGTTTCCATAGTGCCTCCGTTATTTATTTATCAGCTCGTGTTTCTTCTTGCAACTTCCGCTTCCTTTCGTATTTCACGTCGAAAACTCGAATTCATTTCACAAGTTTCTACGATTCAACTATTCTATATTGTACGTATACGTACAAAGTTTCGTTATTATTATGCTAACGTTACACATTTTCTGTCTATAAGTTTTCATCGTTAAAACAAACAAAAACAAACGTTGAATCTATCAAAATAATCAAATGCGATACCTTTTGATTTTATTCTTTCGATTATCCTTTATTCTTTTCTTTTTATATAAATAGAAATATCTTCTATCCTAAAATGAACGTGACGTTGTTGTTGTTTGCTATAAAATAACACTTAAAAAAGTTTGTTTTTGCACTTTTGAAATCGGTATTATAAATATCGGATAAGTTATGTACTAATAAATTGTTTATAAAAATAACCTATACACATTTCTAACAAGATGCGTGCTATGTTTAGTCGAGGCAAGGGATCGCGATAATATATGCGCATCCCCGATGCGCAGAGGATAAATATGTACCATGAGCTACTCCCACCACTTTCTCCTTTGTTCCACGCACTCCATGTAACGCTTAACCCTACTGCGTAAGAGGGGAAACTTGAATATGAGATAATAAACGATTATCCCTTAACCTTAACTGCGGTGACAAAATAATTGCACGCGTAATTACTTCCTCGTCGATTGAAATGTTTTCCTCTCCTTTTTCAATTTTTTTCTTCTATTATGAATTTTTACTCCCGGGACACGAATCTGCTTTATAACTTTTAACACGCAACGATATATATGCGTTGTTAATTCCTTCAAAAATCGTTGAAAGTTCGAATCTTTTAAGAGAGGCGGAAAATCTTCCGGTACGATGGGATTAGCTAGTTAGCTCGTAAATTAAATACAAAATTTATAGAATGCTTAACCGATGTATTTTTAGAGTAACTACGTTCATCAGTGGACGTTTAAACAATTCCTTTTCTTTGCGAGCTAGTAATATGACGTTACGTAATGAATATTTGTTTTGTTTGCTATTTCGATTTGTGTAAATTTTGACTATGAAAATAAATTTGTATTCGAAAAGTAAATAAACACGTAGAAAGTCACACGTATAAATTTTTACATAAAAATTTTTTTCGAAATAAAAGAAACGAAACGAATATGTTCAGTTAGCCTTGAAAAAAATCCTTTTTGACGATTCTTTTTTCGTATTGACGATACAATTGACAGCGTATTGCTAATGTTCTGCTAAATTTCATTTAGTAATTTCCTAAATACCTAAATCGATATTGGTATGTTGACGATACGTATTAGCACTTGACAATGTAGAATAATATTAGCGTAGTAACAACGTATTAACATTACAAACAACATCTGTCATCACATGTATCCTCTTGAGAACATAGACGGCGCATGTATTACATGTATTACATTTACTAATCAATAAGAGATGTATATGCATGCTGTCAACTCTACCTTTTACTATTCACTCGTTAATTTTTCTTCCACTATAAAGCTAGCATACATAAATACAATCGCTTCTCTACTCGTAACGAAAACTAGACCCATCCTGCAAACATATTCATATTATATTGCACGAATTACGAAACTGTGTAAATTCTTTTCTAAACACGAATCAATAATCACGAAAAAATTCTTCTTCGTAAACTGTTATCACACTCTCTATCAATCCTTAAGAAATATTTAAATATGTGTTTTATAATCTATCGCATAAAAGTTGTGGGTACATGTGCTTGTAAAAAGATATTCAATCGCAAATTTTCAATCGTTCTTCTTCTTCTTCGTTTCTATCTATCTTGCATATTTTTAAATCCGATAAACGCTGCTCCCTGTATTTAATCTCGACGAAAACATTACATTTGATTATTCGATAAAATATTAAAGGTCATCGATCGTCGACCAATAAAATTTACCATTTCACAATCCAATTTACAATCCACGTTATTTTTCGCTCTGCAAAGATTAATCCAAAAGAAGGAAAGAGAAACTGTAACCGCGATATTATCTTGATTTTACATATTTAGGATCCGCGTTTAAACGAAAGCGTGTGTACCCCGCAAACTTTTGGACGATATTTAAAAAAGATATTCACGATATACATGATATTCTTGTGTCAGTTGATCGAATCGAATCGAAAAAGCATGGAGCGAGGGTGGAACCGTTGAATCGAGGGGATCCAGGATCGTCCGAAGCGAGTGGAAAACTCGGGATATGACGAGGCCGGTGGCCGATGCTCCTTAGGTTCGTTGATCTTCCGACGAAATCATGGTGTCGGGATGCGGCGGACTGGCGCACTTCAAGAAGAGATTAAAGGCTCGCGAGCTGGAGCTTCGAAATACAAATCGCGTATTCGGTGGATAAGATGAGCAAGAGCGTCGAGCTACTCGCTGGGGCGGAGGACAGTGAACAGATACGAGCGGGTGAGTGCGTCCCAACGAATTTCCTCTCTCATTCCTCTCTTTTTGTTTCTCTTATTAATTAAAAATAGTGAGATAACGAAGGAAGGATCAGTGCTCTTAAAACTGGAAAGTTAAAATTTTAGGGGAATATTAGAGAGATATTGAGTTTTAAAACTGCTTGTTCGATGTATAAACTGGGAGGAATAAGTTGGAAATAACATGCTTGTTATTGTGCTTTTATATGTACGAAGGATCTTCTTCATTTCACTTTGTGTTCCTGTACTCTCCGTCTTCTTTTCACGATGCTTCTTTTTATCGTTCCTATTATTTCTTTTGACGTTTCTCCGCTCTATATCTCGATCTCTCTTTCATTGTCCTTCTTTTTTTTTTTTTTGATACTCTACTTTTAAGTCGTTCCTCTTTTCGTTAGTTTCTCTAAAAAAAAAAAAAATCCCTAAAATTATTTTCCAAAGAGTGGGCGGAGGAGAGAAGATTGGTTTCCCAGAGCACGGAAATTTTTCCAATTTGGATCGTAATTTGGGAAGATGGAGAGGAAGGAAGCTTGATGGATTGTTTCCAATCACATTCGGTATCCGTGTATTCGATATATGTCCACGGAAATGATTGAAATTGGATCCCTTAAAGTAATTTAGATGTAGGCAGGAATGATTTTAGGGAAAAGCGAAATCTAGCCTTTGTAACGTTTCTGTTTCACGAAATGTGTCGCTATGATTTGTACAAGACTTGTGAAAGAGAAAAGGCTAATGAAAATTATAACAAAAAGATGGATTATTAGATTATTCTTCATTTCATACAGAAATCACACAACTGCTCGACAAATATATTTTCCAATATAAATGAATATCTTTTTTATTCTGTTCGTTACTTCCTCGATGTAATAAAACGTCAGTATTTTTTTTTTTTTTAGATATAGATGAATATAATAAATATTATCCCCAATTCGAGTAGGTGTAAACGTGTTTTTCTTGCGTTCTATATAAATCAATAATCGAGCGTCTCTAATTCCCTATGTTATTTCCAATTTATCTCGAGCCTAATGGTTTTGCAGTTAAATGTCATCGTTTGTTCTCATTCCTTCGTATTTTTAGAATGAATCGGCCGTACACGATGATCTCCGCTCAAGATAGCAAATGTCGTAAATTTTCAACACGTTCTCGCCACTTATCGATTATCCGCAATTTCGCTGATCGACTCTTTTTCATACGATGAATTTCAAACGTACGCTGAAAATATGCTGAAAACTCAACGAAACGTAACTGTGCGCACAAATTGTCCTAATAGAATATCGATCGATGCTATCGACTTTTTCTTTTAAACAGAATACAGAAAGTAGAAATTTTGATTTTTGAAATTTAATATAATAGATTTCTCATTTAAATCGCAATCGTGCATATCTAAATGAAAATATTCGCTTATGCAAGAGAAGATACGACGTATAGAGATAATATTTTTATTATCGAATAAATTTTCGATGAATTCATCGAAACGTATTTATGAACGCAATAAGATCGATGAATCAGAAATTGAATAATTTTAATTAAATATATATATATATATATGCCTACCTATCCAACGAATAGACGAATAGTCGTTCTAGATACGTGGGTGGTAGCTTTGTCAAATGTCCCACTTTTATCCAGGCTTTTCATATGTTGGAACATATTTGTGAGATCGATATAATAATAATTTTCAGTACTGTTTAAACATTTAAATGATATCACTGATTATACATTTTTTGCAACCGATGCAATACACGTATTACTAATTAACAGAAGTAAAACGATAAATCAAATCGAATCTATTTGAGTAAAAGTTGAAATTATATACACGTTTATATACGTTTTCTTCATTCTTTTAGATACTCCTATTGCGCATATTCTGGCATTCGTGTTGCGCAGGATCTTCCTTCCTTGCGTGTTCTCTCCTTTTCTTTCTCTTCCGCAATCTTCAGTTCACTTTTACACTTACCGATTGTCGGTCAGACCATCACAGTCAGTCCCAACATTCATCATTTTTTTTTTTCCTCGAGTTAATTTAGTTGCCCGTTTCTTTCCCTCTCATATGATACATTTATATTATAATATCCTTTTCGCTTGTTTTGCTCTCATCATCCATCATCAAAGTAGTTTAAGTGTTATTTGAAAAATATCAGGATTGAAGGAAATGAATTATCAGGTGAATTTCTTATGTGGATAAGTGCTTTTTCTTTCAAGATCCCCTTTTTCCCGTTGGAGATAGGATATTATTAATTTCTCACAAGGTAATTTTCTCACAATAACAGTTTTTATATTTCTGATTATGTACATATTGTTTGTATGATAAAATTATCGAATATGATATAAAATTATGATATCTGTAAGTAACGTTCTGTTCTGCATTTGACATCATTTTAACCACTTTGTTTTTTAACCATTAATAATTAAAAATTTTCTAAAATATTTCTAAACGCCATAATCATGTAATTTATCTTTTAAAATTTGAATAAAACCTGTTAAAATTAGAGAAAAATTTGAACTATTATAATTCCAAAGAGAATGATTTTTTTTCGAGTGAACGATCGTTAAAAATACGGAATCATACAGTTTAAAATGCTTTTTTCGTTTATTTCGATACGACTAATTTTTAATCGTTCAATTTAAACCCAATGAAACTCCATTAAAATTATAAAAACTTTGAACCGTTATAATTCCGAAGAATACTAACTTTTTATCAACGAGTGAACGATCATTAGAAGCGCGAAACTTTTCTCTTTGAAATGCTTTTTCGTTTGTCTCGATACGATTTCCATTTCCCGAGATATCGTCGTGCAAAGAGAAAAGTAATTTTTTACCATCTTTATCGCTTCTTTAACCCGTCCTCTCGCTCGCATCTCCTCCCACCTGATCTATCCCAGACAAGTAACGGACGAGATTCCTGGAAATTCCTATGTAATTCCTAGACAAACATTTGTACGCATTTGCAGGGAAAAATGTAGGTCACTGCGTCGTGGATCCATTCATGATCTCTGCACCGTGGTCAAGCGCTATATGGACACTTTGAGTGGTTGTATCTCGCCAACCGATCGAGATATCGGGATAAATCCAAAAATGACCTCAATCGCACGGTTTTCTTTATTTCCTCGGCGTGTTTTAATTGCATACATTGCGCGCAAAAGTTACTTCGTGCTGTATATAACGTATTTTAATAATATTAAACATATTGAACAAAATTGTACCTCTAAATTGTTACTCTACATATTAATTGTGAATATGCTTTTCTTTGCAAACTTCTTTATCGGATTGGAGCAGTGGGGTCGACGAAGGGGGAGAAAAACGTGTATCGACGTATTTTCAGATAACAGTTTCGTGGAGGAGAGGTCTCGACTGAACTTGAACGGGAGCCGTCAGCTCTCGAAAAGCGCCACGGAGCTCCGGAACAACGAGAGCGGTTCGCCGTCACGACGCGGTGAACAAGCGGACTCGGGTGTCGTCCATCATCATCGCCATCATCGACACGCCACCTCGGTGGCGCAGCGCACGCACATCTTCTTCGCGACCTTGAAAAGTCGGTGGGGCCGCAACAGGAGCAAGGAGCGGAAAAAGTCGAAGGATGGAGGGAGCGGGTTGCCGATCGAGTCCGACTACGCCGCCGATTACTCGTCCGAGCACAGCAAAAGCTCGTCGGCCACCCAGAGTCCAGCCAGGCACTGTCTCAATCATCCAGGCGCGTCTTCTTCTCTTTTATTTATATATATATATTTCTCTCTCGTGTTCATCGCCGAGAATAATTTGATTTTAACACTAAACCTACCGACATTTCATGTATACCTATTTCTATCGTGAAATGACCGCTGCAAAGAAACGTATCTTAATATAGAAAGAGATTTTAGCTAATTGGATTCGTAAACAATACAGAAAGTTGTGAATAATGGGTTGTATCTTATAGAAAAAGTCAATAAGTCACGATACAGTAACTTTGTATACGAGAAATTCTAAACAAAATTTCAAAAAACGGTCATTTGACCGCGCGTGGTAGGTTTAGCGTTAAGACGAAAGACGGGGAGGGAAGAAATGAGTTGAATGATTGATTAATTTTAAAATCTGTCCTCGTTGAATATCGACGTCAACTTATTCACGTTTATATCGTTCGTTTGATCTCAAACACCGGTGGATTTTTATCGCGTTAGATCGATATTAAATTGCAAAGCTTTCGTCCGTGCGTGAGTTAATTACTCGTGCATTTGCTCGTCGAACGGGATTACCTTATCGATATTTCTCAGTTTAAAATTCTGTATGAAAAAGATAGTACATGGAATAATAGTATCTCCACGATTTAAATCAAATTTTGTCGAGTGACAATTTAAAAGTAATTTAAGAATAATTTTCACGCGTGTGCAGAATCACCGTTGGTATGCGGAGGAAGGCAGAATGTCGTGACAAAAGCGGAAGACAGTCCTGGAAAATACAGCGAGGCACACTCGAAAGGATCCTTGAGTTTCCAGCCGTCGAAAGATTCGAACGAGGAAGCTCGAGGATCGATCAGCCAGGAAGATAGCGCATTTCTCCAGGAGGAACTCGCGCGTAGAAGGGAACTGGCGTTGAGGCAGCATGCCTTCTTTCAGCTTCGTTTGCACATCAGAAGAGGGATGAACCTCGTTGCTATGGATAGATGCGGTGAGATACACTTTTTAATCTCTCTCTTCTATTTCTTTCACTTCTCTTTGAAAAATTGTTACGAATATTACTTTGAATTAATCCAAATTTTTATTCAAATCTGCATTTCTTTCCTCTTTCTCTTCTGTGTGTATTCAATCGAAAGACGCGAGGATAGAATGATATCTTTTGGAGATGGAATTTAGAAAAGAAAAAAAAAGAAAAGAAAAATGAAGACGAAACGAATTGTTACGTTTCAGGCGCCAGTGATCCTTACGTGAAAGTGAAAAGCGGAGGTCGATTGTTGCACAAGTCGCGAACCGTTCATCGCGACCTAAATCCAGTTTGGGACGAAAGTGTGACCCTGCCTATAGAGGATCCTTTCCAGCCTCTTACGTTCAAGGTAAATTTTTCATTGTTCTATTTGGTCAAATAATAACAATTATCGATTATTATTACACGCGACACCAGTAAAATTGACCGCCGTTATGGTATCCTTGCAACGAACTAACGCGTTACACCAATTAGGAAACGCGAGTTTCCTTTCAATCTCTTCCTTTCGATCCTACCCTTTTTTTTTCGAGAGCGAGAAATCTGCTTTATTAGAGCATAAACATCTCTCTCAATTTCTCGAGGGATAAATTTGAAAAGAGATAAGGGAAAAATCTGAGAGATTTATGGGATGAAAGGAAGAAAGAAGAAAGGAAGGACGATGATATTTTCGTTGGTTCGTTAATAGAACGTCTGGTGGTGGTCGCCGAGACTTTTATCACTTTCTTGCTCTTTCTTTCGAAGCTAGCAAAAGACCTTGGTCGTTTCGACAGGTCTTCGACTATGACTGGGGTCTGCAGGACGACTTCATGGGCGCGGCTCAATTCGACCTCGCGCAACTCGATCTGGGCCAGCCGCAAGATATCGTGTTGGAGTTGAAGGATCACAACAGGCCGAAACAACATCTCGGCGAAATTTACGTGACCGCCACGCTTTGGCCGAAAAATCAACAGGAGAAAGAACAGGTATTTCTTTCCGCCATCTTTTATTTTTATTCACTAAAAGAAAGCTTCGAGTCACACGAGTATGAAGAAAAATAATGGATCCCTTTCTAATGGATCTCTAATATTTGTGCTTGAAAATCTAAAATTCAATCGATATCTCTCTGTTTCGCTCTCTCTGGCAAATTAAACTTTCCGTTGACAGAACAATTAGATAGGATTTCTGCTTCGAGTTTAACTTGCGTGATTTTATTAAGATAATCTTATCAAGATTACACACCTGTTCAAACGAAATTTCGAAGCTTATTAGTCTTTTTCGTTCTGTGTGGGATGTAATATCGAATTACGTAGAAATTTGCACGTTATAATACTCAAACGACCCATCTCATATTTTATTTAATTTTAAAGTAAGGATTAATATCGTATACGATATTTCAATCAAGTAAAATCAAGATCGAAATTAAATCATCGAAGGATTTGTTACGAATCCGAAAAGCTGAAACCCATGATATTAGCGGATTCTAATTGGACTAAATCCAAGGCTAGTCTTGCTTTTCTCACCTTCGCTGTCTCGCATCTTTTACCACGGATTAATCACGGTGGAATCAATGGACGATTACGTTCGAATCCTCTTTGACCGCTCCAATAAGGAGTATATTAATAGCTTAAAATAATTCTTTTCGAACAAACGATTTTGGGTGGCTGCAAATCGTGTCCCATCGCCAAGGTTGAAAACAGTCACCATTTTTGTATTTGGATAATATGAAGGTATTTCCATATTATCACGATAGGGGCGACACGAGCGCCACTATTGCCAAACGTTATCTTTCTAGCTCAAGTTGCGAACAGAATTTTAAGCGCGACTTAACACGACTTGATGCGAATAAATGCGAACAATCTGTAGGCAATAAAAACGTATTAACGTATGATTTTTTTTTTTTTACACGAGCGTAGAGATACATTTCTCGTGCCAATATCTTTTCTTTATCTCGAAAATTCAACGGTCGCTCGATCGATCTTGCCTATCGATAATTTTTAATTATCGTATTTTAATTCATACGTTCGATATAATTGATTTCTTCGAGCAAAAAAAAAAAAAGAAAAAAAGGAAAAATGATCGATCGATCCACATCGATATCTTCGTACCAAATTTTCTCGGGGAAACTTGACTTGTCCAGATTGATGTGGCGTGTAAAAGAAACAAACACGCGTTAATTTTTGCGCTATTAATTTTTCCCCGATTTTAATTGATGACCGTAAAAAAAAGAAAGAGAAAAGAAAAGAAGGAAAACCGTGCAACGAACAATCCGATGTTTTGGCTAGGAGCAGTGATAGCGTGGTATATCGATAAACGATAAGTCCCTTAACTGTGAACTTTGACAAGCTGTGCAATTGAAATGCAATCGACGTGAAAGAACGACGTCAAAGTGTTTTGGAAACGGAAAGACGTGTAATACGAACGAATTGCTCGTTTTATTATTAAACCGAGTGGAAGAATTGGAATAGCCCGGTTTATTATTTGCGGTTTGGCAGAAGGATCGTATAATATAAGATAAATTGATTCGTTATAAATATAACTTGGAATTGGAAAAATTGGATAAACTCGTGATAAATAAAAAGAGAAAGGAAATGTTAATGTTAAATTAACGAGCAAGGAGGAGGAGTTGCACAAGCTTGATCTAACCGATCATTAGTAGCCTCACACCAGAGGGTTCTGTGTGTCGAGCTTAACGACACAATCAATATTGTCGGTAAAAAGTTGAAGGGGATCACTGGCTCGCGATTATAAGTGGAACGAAGAATCGGATTTTCTAATTTGACCCGAATCATTCTAAAACGATTGAAAAAGATTAAAACGTTAAAAAGGATATGAGTGATGATTCGATAAGACTTAGGGTTAAAATAAAAATAAAGAAAAGAAAAAAGAAAAAAAATTCGGTGACCTTATTTATTGATTCGACTCTTTTATTATCATTCGCGTCATAATTTTTTTTTTATCTAGAATTTTTTCGTTCATAAATATGCATGAAATGAATATGAATTAATAAATTCGAAAGTGAAATTGATAGACATAATTGGAATCGATTAAGATCATAATTAGAATTTCGTTGAATTTTTTTATGAAAGCATAATTTGAATTTGTTCTTAACGATACTGTCGAATCTGTCGGTAAGATGATAAAACTGAAAAAAATTTGTTCGCAGAAATATTTCGTCGACGCACGATTTCTGTGGTGTTAATTAATAAAATTGCTTTATGCAACGTTAACGTACTTGTATATGTAAGTAAGTACATAGATCAAGGATTTTAAAAGGAAATTAATGAATCGATCAATAAAATTTTGCTTTATTTTAATTCGTTGGATACGAGATGCATAAAAAAATATTTGTTATTACAATATAAATCCAATTGTATTTTTTAACAGAGGCAATATTTTTATTTTATTGATACAAAATTTTACGTAAACTTTCAAAAGATTTTAAAACGGGCATCGATGAATAATTTATAAAGATACGTTTCAATTGTAAAAATTAAATTTCATTATTTGTAACCTGTAATTGCATACATGGTAAAAACATGCATGCATTATTCAACATTTCAACAGTAGCCATTATTTACAACTTTGTCTTTATTTACGCGTGCATCTTAATTTTAAAGCTTTACGAGCAATTCACGTGTTTTTGAAAGATACGACGAATTTGAAAATTAAAAAGAAATTATTTATTAGAAAAGAAAATAGAAAAATTCAAATAAATCAAGTTAGAAAATTTGATCAATTGTCTCTCGTAATTGCATTACGATACGATATAAATAAAATATCAATTTCAAAATATTGTAAAAATAAGAAAAAAAGAATAAAGTCGAAAAAACAAGAGTAACGTATTTGAACCACTTTATTTCCAATTATTCGGCCCAACGGTACGTTAAAGTTATACGTTCCTATGTATACGTATACTTACATCATACACGATATCGTAATGTTTACCTCCTGTTGGCAATGGAGAGGGAAAGAAAGGTTCGGCTGTCGAGTTAAGCTGTATCGTTTAGCAGTCACACAGCGACATTCGAGCAAGTACGGTTCTCGCGTTTTATAAAACAATTTCCTTTTCTTTTTATTTTCCTCTTATTTCTTACATTATTTACACATTTTTCAATACATTATTTATACATTTATATCTATATTTACATCTAATCTATTTAAAATATTCCGCGATACGAATTTAAATTATATACTTAAATTTAAAAATTAATAATCTTTTTTTATTTTCAACGTAAAATTATGAAATATTTCGAAAGAATTCAGAAAGAAGAAACAAGAAACATTTTTCTGCATTAAAAGCAACGTGTTGTTCGTTTACATAAATTTTTTTATCTTCACCTATTATCAACGTTACTTCTACGTTACAAAGTAATATACAATTGTGTGTACAAGAGTGTGTACAAAGAGTGTGAATAGACGGCCGTGAAAAGAAGACACGACAAAATGGAAACAATCGAAAGTCGTTAAATTGCAAGATGGTGCGAAGTGTAGGTTGCAAAGTGGTAAAGTCGAATCTTAGCCTCGAGTACACGTGACCGTCCATGTTTCGATGACTCAGTGACACTAAGTGCTCTGGCAATTTGTGCTTCAACAGTTCGTTTGTTGCAATTCGAACGAATAGATTTTCAACTCGACTCGGATTGGAAGTTGAAATTTTGATTTTGCTTTGTGCGCTCGTTCTAGATCGATTCCAAATCGTTGGAGAAACGTGATTATCTGTACAGGATGAGAAGTTTGCCTGTCTTGGCAACATCGATTTGAATGAAATCGAGTGCTATTTGAAGACGCGTTCGCGAAGTATTAGCGTATTTATGAGAATTCGACGAAACTGTGCGAGTGAGAAACGTGAGAATTTGATAGAATTTGCAAGTTTCTTATCGCGTGTATTTCTCTATTCCGTTTGCTTTGAAAGTCTCGTCTATAATTAATGTTAATTTGAAAATACGTATGAGAGGAGAAGAAATAAAGTTTTTTTCGACGTTTTATAAGAGGAAAACAAAAATACGGATGCGGATTTAAAAGAAGTATCTAAGAGGATATTTTTAAAATATTTTTAAATTATCAATCGAAGTGAAACTTTTAATGATGTTATAAATTAAATCGCGCAACGTTATTCGAAAAGTTTTAAAAAAGATTTAACGATATTGTTGTTATTGTTATCGCATGAAACATCACGTGCAAAAAAGAAGTTGGAAATATTACGAAGAAATTCATTCTGTTGAATTTCATTATTCGCAATCTTTATAAATTAAAAAAAATCTTACGAAATATAAAAAAAAAAAATAATTCGGTGAAATCGAAAGTTTGAAACCATAAATACGCGGAGTGGAACAAGAAACGTTTAACTTAGATTTTCCACTTCGATGTTCAATCTTTTTTTTTTTTTCTAGAGAAACCAACAATGATCGTAATTACGTTAACAATTGTGACCGAGACAAATTCGCGTCGCATAGAGAAACGTCAATTAAGTACATGTTTGCGTGTAAATAGCGGAAGAGGCCGTTTATTGGTCACGTAAGTGATACGGAACATTGGGAAGGAAATATTTTTCAACGGCCGATCGTTCAACGCGAACGCGTTCTTGCTGTTTTCATTTTGCCTATCTACATCCTCTTCCATATTCGCTTCCTTCGACGGAATACAACGATGACGGAGGCTGAGAAAAAATGTAATCGAACGGCGATCGGAATTAACGATCAAAACGTCGTGTCCTCGATGAAACAGAGTTCGAGAGAAGAATCGTCAAATGTGGAAAAATGCAAGTGTGAAACGGCGATGGAAGCAGAACCATGTGCGGCAGGCTCGTCGAGAGGGAGTGGTTGTTTCTCGAGGCGCGACAAGGTGGCCGATATCCTCGACAAACAATCGCGCACCGATTCCGCGAAAACGTTCAAATCATCGAGATTCGAGGAGAGCCACGAGAACAGGTGGAAGAAATTTTGGGACCATCATCGAAACAAATTTCGGCAGAGATGCGAGAAGGATCGATCGGTCGAGGAGGTGACGACGGATGTGGACGCGGTGTTTCGAAAGGCGATTCGAAATATGCGTTTCGATCGGTCTTCCACAGCGGACGAGAGCTGTCCGGAGAAGGATAACAAGAATGGGAGAGGGACGGGGAACGTGGCGAGTCAATGTGTCGAGAAATCGTTGCAGCAACGATCGAGATTGGCTCGTTCGAAGGAGGAGGAGGAGGGTACGTTTATGAAGAGAATCGAGGAGCACGACGATACTTGGCCTCTTAAAAACAGGGAGGGGAGAGGGGAGGGAAATACGTCGACCAATTTTCCCCTCGTGGAGATTAATAGGGAGGAGAGGGGATGGAATGAAAACACGAAGGCGAGAAATCCTCGGATGAGGAAATGGAGCTCGTTGGAGAATTTATCGATCAACGCGAGAGAGAATTCTCGCGATCGGAGTATAGAGGGCCTGTCGATCGAAAGAAGAGTGATCGGATGCAAGGAAAAGAGGAGGATCGAGTCTTTGAGGTCTTCGTTGGAAAGGAAAATGGGATCTGTGGAGAGGATGTTGGAGGATCAGATAGAGAAAATATGGGACGAGAAAGTGGAGAAACATCCGTGGTTGTTGCCTATCGACAATTGGATCGTTGATCGTTGCAGATCTTCTCGAAGGTGTTCCTCTGCCGTTCAGAACAGGGGGAACGATGATTTGCACACGGGGGAAGGGAATTCGGGGGAGAAGGAACGAATTGAAGAGAGTTTCGATTCGAAATTTATCGCTTCGGGAGACGGAGAGGGAAGGGTGGAGATGAAATTGAATGAACATTTGAAGAAGCCGGAAAGATCGAGATTCGAAAGTATGAGCTTGAATTCGAGATTGAAGAGGTTCGATCAGTCGAGGGAGGGAGAAATTTTGGAGGTGAAAGATGTAAAGCATTACGACCTGTTGGATAAACTGAGGGACAATGTTAAAGAGAAAATGGAGGATATTCACAGGGTAGATTCGAGTATTTTTTTAACTTTTTTAAAAATGTTTGAGAGAAATCGAAAAAAAAGAAAAGAAAAGAAAAGAAAATTATGATAGATCGTTGATTTCGAAAAATTTTTATTTTTAGGGGGATCAATCAACGGTTATAATCTGTGTTTTTCAAGAAAAACAAAATCATTATGCGTATCATTGAAAAGATTAAAAAAAAAATTTTTAGATCTGAAGTAAGTTTTAAAAGTAGAAAATATGACACGTTCTTCGAAAGGAACTGAATCATCCTAATACGATTAATTTATTTGTTCAAGTGATCTGATACCTCTTAAAATGTGAGATTATGATAAAAACTTTTGATTCGTGACGAACGATAACATTCGTAAATATGAGATGTTGACGTTTGTGAATTTGATAACAAACTATTGTTAACATTTAAAATCACTTAACCTTGTCTTTTCGCTCGTACATATATATATATATATTATTTTTTTTTTTTTCTACAGTTTCGAATAACTTCATAGCATGACTTTTTTCAAATTTCACCGCACAAAACATTTTGTTCACTGTTTCGAAAAATAAAGTTCAGCGTATACGTATATACAATACATATGTGTGTGTATGTGTGTGCGTGTATTACGTAGAATTATGATTAAACCTTGATTGATTCCCTTTGTACAAATCGAAAATTAATATATATATATATATATATAAATAGATATTTTTTTCCGGTGCATCTGAAATTATTATTTGCAACAGTGAAACTTCTTTTAATTCTTTTTTTCTTCTCCTCGATTATTTTACATGGCGTATTTTTTGCGTTCGCAGTATTTCCAAAGGACCAATCGATTGGCAGATGTAAATAGACGATTAAAGTCGCAAATATGGAGCTCAGTGGTGACGATTGTTCTCGTGGAGGCGAAGAATTTGCTACCCATGGATATAGAGGGCCTCTCGGATCCCTACGTCAAATTTCGGTAATAAATAAACGTCATTATTCCCGAGTATATATAAACTAAAACTGTTATCAAACTAATTTTATCGTTCGTTTTAAAAAAAATTCACGCCCTCCACCAACAAAGATATCTTCCAACAATTCCCCAACAACGATAAATAATAATTACGATCGTCTTCTCCTTGACTCCAGTCTTGGGACAGAAAAGTACAAGTCAAAAGTGGTGCACAAGACCTTGAATCCCGTTTGGTTGGAGCAATTCGATCTTCACCTATACGAAGATCCCTATTTAGGGCAGGAGTTGGAGGTGACGGTGTGGGATCGCGATAAAAGCCATCAGGATGACCTAATGGGAAAGACGGTGATAGATTTGGCAACGCTCGAACGCGAGACGACCCATAGGCTGTGGCGCGATCTCGAGGACGGTTCTGGAAACATTTTTTTGCTGTTGACCATCAGCGGAACCACCGCCAGTGAAACGATCAGCGATCTAGCCGCCCACGAGGAGACTCCTCGCGAACGGGAACAATTGTACCAAAGATATTCGATCAGAAACACGTTGCAGAGGTTGCGAGATGTTGGCCATTTAACCGTGAAGGTTTGTCAAAATTTTCTTTTGCAAAAATATTCGTTTCGAGTTTTGTTAACGAGTTTATTTTAAAAAAAAAGAAAAAGAAAAAACACTGGCCGAAAAATCACGAATATATAAAGTTCATCGAATGTAACAAATATTTTACTATCGATAAAAAATTATATCAAATTACACATGTTCCTTGTTCATATTCGGTCAGCGACACGTGGCCAACACTACCGCTCGATCGTTGTTTCTTCTTAATAAAAAATAAACAATTAACAATGGTGAAATGAAAGTTTTTGCAAAGGAAAATATTGCTCGAAATTACTTCAGCAATCTTCAGTTAATTTTTGAGGCGTTCCGTACACGTATTTATACGTTTGTCCAGGTATTCAGAGCGCAAGGTCTCGCGGCGGCCGATTTGGGCGGGAAGAGCGATCCTTTCTGCGTGTTGGAATTGGTAAACGCCAGATTGCAGACACAGACGGAATACAAAACGCTGGCTCCAAACTGGCAAAAAATATTTACATTGTAAGTTATTTTGTTTCGTGGCACATTTTGTTAAGTGAGAGTATAAAATTTATAACGCCGTACCGTTTCACAGCAACGTGAAAGATATTAATTCGGTGCTGGAGGTGACGGTGTACGACGAGGACAGGGACCACAAGGTGGAGTTTCTCGGGAAAGTTGCCATACCTCTTCTGAAGATAAGGAACGGTGAGAAACGATGGTACGCGTTGAAGGACAAGAAATTGAGAGGTCGGGCAAAAGGGAATTCCCCCCAAATTCTGTTGGAAATGACCGTGGTGTGGAACGTTGTGAGAGCCTGTGTGCGAACGTTGAATCCCAAAGAGAAGAAATACATGGAGCCGGAGATAAAGTTCAAGAGGCAGGTGTTCCTGCGTAACGTTCTCAGGTTGAAGGCAATCATCGTTATCGTTATTGATATTGGAAAATACGTGCAGTACGTAGTTTTCTCTCTCTCTCTCTCTTTTCTTTTTTTTTTTTTATTTATCCGATTTATATTATTATATAACGATACACGTGACATTTCACACGCAAATTGTATCGCATATTTTAATCATAAATTTCTGTTCACGTGACACGTGCTATGAATGTCGAGACAATGATTAATAATGATCGATGCATAATCTCTTATACATATTTCACTTTACGAATTTTATATTTTCAATATTGTATCGAAAGAAAAAAAAAAAAAAGAAATTTATCAAAATCATTCGATAAATAGATTATTTTTCTCTTCTTTTTTTTTTTTTTTTTCCTCCTCAAATTATTAGGAGCTGCTGGGAATGGGAAAGTAAAATGAGAAGCATCTTTGCACTGGTTATCTTTGTTTTGGGCTGTTACTATTTTGAGCCTTACATGTTCCCTGGAGTAGCACTCCTTATCTTGTTAAAATACTATCTGGTACGTAAATAAAATTAATCAGAAATATATATATATATATATATATATTTTTAAAACTCTCTATTTCTCTCTAAAACATTTATCGCTATCTTTATGAATTATTGACACTTGTCTTACACATTTATCTTACTAGTATTTGCTAATCCATTACTTCCATTGATCCCTACTTTTTTTTTCTTACTTGCTAATCTTAAAAGAGCTTGCCAAACAATCTAAGAATTCTCACTTGGAGTAGAATATTTTGTAACATTTTGTAACATATAATTCTGTAGACTGCAATAGAGTGTATCCCATTGAACAAAGTATAAACCTTGCATTGCAAATTTCTTATTTTTATTGGCTATTACTAGTCGATAGAAGCTAGTTATTCCCTTTTTAAAAGGCTATGATAAAATTAAAGCTGCACACGCCAATAAAGTTCGATCTAATCGATTTTAGCTTTTCTCCTCGCCACGTACCTAATTGCTCCCCACTGAAACTTTATCGCCTGGAATTTAATGCATAAGTAGATGCAACGCATTACTCCCCAAGAAGAACGCGATCCCAGTACGTTGCACATATTGGTTCGATAACGATACCACCTCAAAATTTATTCCTTCGAATTTTTCCATACCATCGCATCTCGTATATAAAAATCTCACACAAATTTCTCCAGTTTTCTCCATTGTTTAGCATTATTATCGTGTTATACGATGCCATGTACGATAAATCAACTTGCTTGATTTTTACCCGCATTGCTGCATGTCCACACCCTTTACTGCCTGCCAGCTTTACGGGGATGGAAATGGATTGAAACAATGGGTTTCCGGACAGGTCGCGATGATAACTGGTACGCCCTTGACCCATCATCACACCACCCATTCCCACTTTCACGACGAGATCGACGAAGGTCCAGCTACTCCTGGGGACGACGACGACGACGACGACGACAAGGATAAAGTGAGTTTAATTTTTTCCAAAAAAAAATCGAAATTTCGATCGATAAGCAATGCAAAATTTATAACACGGATGTTTGATCTATCGATAACTAAAGATTCCTCCCCGATGAATATTACATGCCCACGTACACATGTCACGAGTATATTTTGGTCTCCTTTCTTCGATTCGTCCCCAGTCAAATTGACGTCTCTACGTCAATAGCCGAAACGGGGTCACCGTATTAAAAAATTAAAAAACCTTCGACCTTTCGTTATTTTCGTTTTGTGTCCTTCATCGTGTAACTTTCTTCCCTTTTTCTTGCAGGAAGAGAAGAAAAGTCTGAAGGAGCGGCTGCAAGCGATCCAAGAGGTGACCCAGACCGTGCAAAACTCGATCGGTTACATAGCGAGCCTCTGCGAAAGGGTGAAGAATCTTTTCAACTTCACTGTCCCTTACCTCAGTTACCTGGCCGTGATCTTGGCCATCCTGGCCGCCGTTGTCCTCTACTTCATCCCCCTTCGATACCTCATCCTGACATGGGGCGTGAACAAATTCTCGAGGAAGATCATCAGGCCCCACTCGGTCCCGAACAACGAGCTCCTCGACCTCGTATCCAGAGTGCCCGACGACGAGGAGCTTCTCAATTACAGGTCCGTTTCTTTTTTTTTTGAATGGAAACAAGGGGATGAGAACAAAATTGGAATAATTCGTTCGTGGATAAATTTATTTCCAATGGGTGATGAAAGTATTCGAATGGTTATATTTACAATCTTCGATGAACGAAATATATATATATGTCATTGGACTTTCGTCGTCCAATGTGTGCAAACTAAAAAGTTTGGCAACACGTTGGTGTCATAAGTAAATAAAATAAAGGCTTAATAATAAATTAACTACGAAGGAGCTATGTCAAAGCCTGGAAAAAATATCGGTTCCATAGCTAAAGCTATCACTAAATTTATGCAGACAGCATAGTGTTAAGACAATTGAAAATGATTCACCAATTTATGGAGTAGATATAACACATTTATTATAAACACGCACCGTTAATAAGGTACAAAAGTATTGGAACTTGCTTCGTATATGCAGTATTATTTAACATTAATATTTTGTTGGACCATTTTTGGTGATAATAATTTATCTCGATCAAAGTTCCATACCGTGATTTTGTAGAAATCACAATCGATTCCATATCTCTATAATTTTTTCCCTATTTCAATCTAGAAATTTTATATCTGGACCCTGATAAAGTATTTAACATATATTATATAGGATCTATTCTCTCACGATTTGCTCTGTACATTTTCTGCACAATCTCAACAATACTCTCGTTGTCTCAAACCAGTTCCTCCAACGTATAAATTAAAATCGATTCCATATTTCTATAAATTTCTTCCCTATTTCAATCTATAAATTTTATATCTGGATCCTGATAGAGTATTTAACATGTAGAATATATTACAATCTCAACAATACTCTCGTTGTCTCAAACCAGTTCCTCCAACGTATAAATTAAAATCACAATCGATTCCATATTTCTATAAATTTCTTCCCTATTTCAATCTATAAATTTTATATCTGGATCCTGATAGAGTATTTAACATATAGAATATATTAAAATCTCAACAATACTCTCAAACAAGTTTCCTTCAACGTATACGTTTCGTTCATGAAAGATTGTAAATGTAAGGGTTCGAATACCTTCGTCACAGCCACTGTATCATACATGTTCGTGCAGGGAGTTGAAACCGTTGCCGACCGCCGATTGCGAGAAGGGGTCTGGAAGCCCGGGCGTCTCGAATCCAACGCGGAGGGAGCAGAGGAAGAGGCACAAGGCCGCGTAGCAGCATGCCCCGCGGCCGGAAGTCGCGGGTCTACGATCACCGAGCATCCTGAGGACGGTCCTGCTGCGGCGGAACAAGCGCCAGCGAAAGGGATCAGCGGAGAATCCGGATGTGATCGACATAGACTGAGAAACGCCACCGTTTCCACCCACCGTAGTCGTTTTAGCTAGAAGGGGTTGGGGAGGGGAGCGAAATTACGAAATTTACGAATAAAGTTACGAGATCGATCACGAGCAACGATAATCCAAATTAAACAAAAACAATCGTGGCAAATTTGGAACAAAGAGGAGAATTATCAATCGATTGAAAAAAAAAAAAACTACGTGTTTAATCAAAGTAACTTTATTCGAAATTTTCAACTTGGGTTGAAATGCCCAAACACGATCTTTAAATCGGTCCCGGCGTGGTATGCCCTCGATCGTTTCGTTTCGTTTCGTTTTCGTTCTCGATGATTGGCAGATTAGTATTAGCTGGAGAGGAAGGGGAGAACGTTCCCGATTCAGAAGGATCATTCTCGCGTTTTTAGGGCGTAGGATAGAATATTGGTCGACAGAAGATTCGTCGACAGACAGCTTTTTGGAAAGCAAGCACGTTGTACAATCACATTGGACGAATTCTCAAGGAGCATACCAACAAGGGGGGAAAAAATTATCAATAGATACATTTCGGTTTTATAATTGGAACGAGTGCATCGATACATTTGATAAAATATATATATATATACACACACATGTATATTCTCGTCTAGAAATAATCTAGATAGCGTTTTTTTTTTCTGGAATGTGTAAGATATGCTTGTCGTCAGGGAAAATAACTTTGAGGAAAGGTGTATTTCTTCTTTTTTTTCAATCATCGTTTCTCAAACTGTTTGAAAAAGTGATAAACCGAGTATTCTGAAAGTATACCTCCTCCCCCCCGGGGGGGGGAGGGAGGGGAATGTATCGAAAAATAGCGCAAAACCGTTTGATAATCGTGAATTAGTCAAAAAAAAAAAAAAAAGTATAGACGGAGAAGAGATGTAAAGAGAGTTTAAAAAGGGGGAGGAGGGAGGGGGGGGAGGGGAGGAAAGAAAAGTGTACATTTACACGAGAGTATTTCCCGGCCAACGGGTTATCCTCGTCGATCCGTTTCGTCCATCGGTGTCGTAGATATAGCTGCTACAAAATCGTTACCAGTGACAATGAGGTGTTCGGAAAAAGAAAGAAAAGTTGAAACAAAAAGAAAAAAAAAAAAAAAAATAGTAAAAAAAGAAAAAAAGAGAAAAAGAACAAAAAAGACAAATATGTTATTCCGCGACGGTCCCGTCGAGAAATTTCGCTCGACGAGCCGTTTCTTCCATTTCACGAACGACGAAAAGAGCCCATTAATTCTATGATATGATATTCCACGTACGTTTATATCGTGTTTTAATAAAAAAAAAAAAGAAAAAAGTTAAATTATATAGTTCGATCGGATTAGTCTATTTTTATTTTTTAATTTGCGCTACCTCCTGTTACGATTAAAATCGTTTAAACGATTCTGTTTCATTAGCCAATTCGTCGTTCGCGAAATCAGATATTATTTAATCTTTTTATCGTTGAGACGTTTTTCCAAGTGTCTCAAAGTTATTAACTCTTTAAATAGTATTTAACATATTAACGAAATTCTTTGTTCCAACGCACATTTTTCACGCGTTAGTCCATCATCTCCTCGGGCATGAATGTGAAAGTAACACGTCGAACGAATGGCGATTGTATCTTCCGCGTCTAAAATTCGTGAAACTCAACGGGATTTAAATTTACACGGTCGAGTTAGTTTGGAATTTTGCCGCAACAGCATCGCTCGTGCTTAGATCGGAGAACATATCAAGTTTAAAGGTTTTAAGAAGTAAGGCGAAAAGGAAAAGAGATATTGAATTTATAATAGAATTACCAGGAAATCTAGTTATATGATAATCCGATGAAGAAACCGTGAAATATATATATATTTATGCGTGCGAAGATGCCCGAAAGAAACCGGAGAAACACAATGAAAGGAAGGAAAACGAATGTTTCTTCGACACCGGTTCTATTACTATTTTTATAACGATAATAGGTGTCGCTGTCCTCGTAACAATAGCTCATAACCTGGTTTCGCGATTAGATAACATTCCAGAACTCGTAACTTTCTTCGTCCACGAACGTTCCTTTTTTTTTTTTTGTATTTTTACTCTCGAAAAGCTACGTTTCTTTCCTTCTTTATTTATTTACACCATTGTTCTGGATAGTATAGTCGCGTAGTTGCAACATCGCAAAAGCGTTAATAAACGCATAACGATGTCAACGTCGCAAATTACACGAATTATACGAAACGGCGAAAGATATTGTAACGATTGTTTGGAACGTATTCAAGGATCGTGTATAAATAACTCGTGTTTGTATTTTTATTCAAATGCCACGTTACACGACTAAAATGGAAAAATGATCGAAAAATGAGGCGAGGATGAAGGAATATTTTTTTTTAGCACGATGATATTCCCAATTGATTTTCACCACGAACATGCTCGAGGAGGGAAGTAAAACGCGTTGAATCAATTATTCCTAACCGTGATTTTACGGTTCGTGCCAGCCGAGAGACGAGAAAGCTGAAAGGGGAAGGAGAAATATCCATTTTTTTTTCTCGCTTTTCTAACTCGGAATTTCAGTGCACCGTCATCGTCATATTTCCCGAATCATTCCGCCATCGATCCTCTTCTCGCTGTTTCTTCCATTCGCACGATTGCCACGAAAAAAGAAAAAAAAAGAAAATTATATCCCTCCATGTACTTATATTTGTCTTCGCTTATATTTGACCCTTTGAAGCGCTACGAGTATTTTTTTTTAATTTAATTTTTTTTCTTCTTATTATATTATTATTGCTTTTCTCTCGAACAATTTGTATCACGCTTTTGCCTCGATATGATCTAGTCTCTATGTGTATTAAATTTTTCTATTAAAAGAGACACGTATTAAAAGAAAGAAAAAGATATCACGACAGATTTAAAGATAGATTTGGATGTAATTTTTTGGAAAAAATTGTGTAACAATTAACAAAAAAAAATCATATTTGTATATAATATTTTATAACTTAACTTTCTTATATCGAAGAAAGATTCTTAATGATAAAAAAAAAAAGAGAGAGAGAGAAACGCGTTATCTTATATCTAAAATAATCTCTAACGTTTATTATTAAAATTTACAAAATTGTTACAAAATGCATCGCGTCGCAACATTATCTTTGGAATAGATCGATCCAATAATATGAACCAAATTCAAAAGAATTGAGGAAATGATTCGCGCTTCAAAGGGTTGGAAAAGGGTAATATTCGCGCTCTCTATTCATCCGCCAATTGTGGGCCTAATTCACGAGGAGGCAAGAACGCATTCATATCTGTAGGAACGCAGTGAACGTTAAGCGAACGAGAGGCGTGTATGTGAAATGAGAGAGAGAGAGAGAGAGAGAGAGATAGAAATAGATAGGCGATTCTTTTTTGTCATCTAGTCAACGAACTTTCTTAAGTAAGCTCGAGAAACTTGTGATAAACCGTGGATTCAATTTCACTTTCTTCTTTTATTTTTTTTTCTTTTTTTTTTTTTTCCTGCGTTTAGAGGAATTACGCAGCGATTTTGTGCGATTTAAAATTTACCGATAATCGAACATTCTTCCTCCTGATTTCATTTTCGTTCGACGTTAATTTTAAATCGCACGGTTGACAATGTCACGGTATGTTTTTTCTATCGGTCATTCCTAGTGACATTCCTTTTCGTGTGAATTGCATGGATAAGTTGCATGGAGTCGCTGAATCAAATCAAATAATAATAATAATTGAATTTATACACGAATGTTTTTCTTCTTTTTTTTTTTTCTTTCCAAAAAATTTGTCCAAATAAACGTGGCGTATCCATCCAATTTTATCTTTAACGCGTGTACAATTACATCGAGTCGAAGGGTCGGTTGTCGACTAAACGGCAACCTGGTCAAAGGATCCGTCGTAACAGACGTGGACGAATAACTATAACTGTATAAGCGATTCAATTTGTATCGTCGATTCGAAATTTAAAAATGGCCGACAACCGACGCTTCGAACGAAAAAAAAAAAAAAAAAAAAAAAACAACTATTCGCGTTTTACAACGTCGTCTTTTTCTACTCTTCCAATTTTGTACTTCCAATAGGTGTGTAAAAAAGCGAGAAAATTGTTTCTTCGACTTTTCGACTAAAATCATTTTCGTCAATCGAAAAAAAAAAAAAAAGAAAAAAAAGGAAAAAAAATTAGCCACTTCGAAACTCGTTTAAATATTGCTCGCTCGCTCATTCATTCGCCCACTTCTATTTCGACTCGTTTCTTTCGTGGGAATGCAAAGGCACGCAAAGGGCACACGAGCGATCACGTACACATTCACGCGCATATTCATTATACTATCTTCGTGCACGCACTTTCGAGTTTGCATGCTCCAATTTCTTCGTGTTATATGAATCTTTATTAAAGTGTTTTAGCCGTTAAGGGAGGAGAGGAGGAGAGACGGGGGTGGGAGAGGGAGACACAGAGAACAAACACGTGGAAAGAAAGAAAGAAAGAAAGAAAGAAAATGGAGGGAGAGACCAGGACGAATTCGATTTTCACACACATATATATACTTTTTCACCAATACTGTATCCTCTCTGGACGAGTGTTCCTCGATCTACTTATTTAAAAAAAAAATAAAAAAAAAAAAAAAAAAAAATTCCTCGCTGCTTTTGCATAAATATTATTAGATCGTGTCGTCGTTTCGAAGATCGATCGATATTTGAAGAGCGTACGGGGAGAAGGAAGGTCGTCGAAGTACAAGTTACACGTTTTTTATTTTACATTTTTTCCCGCGGTCACTTTTACCCGAGGTGGAGAAACAATCGGGCAACACTGATCCAGATGAAAGATATGTAGATCAATACACACACACACACATACACACACACACGCGCGCACGCACGCACGCACGGTTTGTACCGTTATTACTTCCTAAACGATGGGAAACGAACGAACAACGTTAAATTTAAGATATTTAGATAGAATTCGAAAATGGAATTGTGATTCGATCGGCGATATCAATCGATTAGATCCGATTCTCGAAGAACGAAAATTGAAATCATATGTATGAGGCAAAGAAGGTCCGGACCAAGTCCAGATCGGTGTGATCTCGATCGTACAAAAAGAATTAAAAGATAAAAAAAGAAAAAGAAAAAAGGAAAAAAACATGGAAAGAAACAAAATAAAATAGAAATATAAATACGTAATTATCAATATATATTTAAAAGAAAGAAATATATATACATATATATATATATATATATATATATATATATATATGTATGTATGTATGTAT